ACAACACGAATAATAAATATGCAGTTAAATCCCAATAAAAATAAATTTAGTATAAATAATTTTATTTTTTAAAATATTTAAGCAATCAAATGGTAATAATAATGCAAATATACATATCACTCAAGTAATAAAGGGCTTTAATGGAGTTCTTAATATCGATCACACATTATCACTCAAGTAATAAAGGGCTTTAATGGAGTCCTTAGTATCGATCACACATGGAGTTGGAAATTCTTATGAGTTGGATATTCTTATGATTAAAACACAATATTCAAACTATAAAATTTAAGTAAGAAAAACAAATCAAAAGTAAAATTAATGTGCGCTAAATGAAATGCAATTAAAAGAACTAAGTTAACTAAACTAATTGCTAAACTTCAAAAGAAAACTTATAAAGACTAAACAAAGTTTGGTAGTGAATAATTTAAATTTAAGAAAACATCCCTCCCCTTTACAATGAGTTTATGGATTGTGAAGCAATTAAAATCATTTAAAATACATATAAAATTGTATTTTGTTAAATAGAAGCAATCTTATTATTTTCCCTCTAAGAGTGCATAACGAACCTTAACTGATCTAGAGTTTAGTCCCTAAATCCGTGGTTAGGTTGAGAGGATACTGACTGCCTCTCTAGTACTTCTCCCTCATATGAGGGCTAATAATCTCGCTTTAGTTTCCAATCAATTGGACCAAATTAAGGATTTTAATCTGTCACCTTAAAATCTCTAATTCTACGCCCAACAAAGTATATTTCCTTATTTATTTTCACTCAACCCCATGAATTACATTCACACCCATGAAATTGAATGCGACTCTTAAATTATCGTAAAAAGCATATCCCTTTTGGATCGTATGATTCCCGACAAATTTTAACCTTCCAGTTGGCCAGATCAAAAAGTAAATGAGGATCAGAGTTCTAATCATCACAATTTATTGACATTTAAAACCTTACAAAGCAAAACAAATTCTTTACAAAATCATATCTCATTATACAGAGAAGGATAAAGAAGACTACTCATAATTCATGAGAAGGATACGACAAAACACGTATTTCATATATAAAAATAAGTTTACAAAACTAAGAAAGAAAAGAACACAACTTATCTCACACTTCTTCCCAAGAAAATCCCTAAAAGTTCCTTTTAAGCACTTTGTCTCTTTATAATCACACTCAATTCTCTCTTAGAAGTGTAATAAAGAAGAAATATCTCACATTCCCTCTCCTCTTACAACCCTAGAAGAAAATCCTCTCTTCTCCAAGACTTTTCTCTCACGTTTAAACCTTCCTCTCAAACTCACGCCCCTCTCTCTTTCAAGTCTAAAATCCTCTCCTTTTTAATTAGGGTCAGCCTTCTTTAAAATGGAATTTAAAATTCCCTCCAATTTTCTCCTCAAAAGTCACATTTCTTAACACCAAGAGACAAGTCCCTTCATCCAAGAGACATATCTCTTTGTTAAAGAGCATTTCTAAAGTGTCTAGATGCATTGAACCACTCCATGGGATGTTTGCATTGTTTGGAGCCTTCAAACACCACTCAAAAATAGTCACGAACCGCCTTACTCCGTTTTAATTCATCTCTAGTGTCAGCCTAATGAAGTTCGTGTTGTTCTCTGAATTTTGGCTCCTCTGATGCCAATTCTGGCACTTATGGCACTGCTTCTCTATAAAATGGTGCCTCTGGCGCCAGCTCCTTGAAAAATGACGCATTTGGTGCCAGGAACATGAAAATCTTCATTTTGGCTCTAAATTTCCTCTTTTTTGCTACTTTTTTGCTCCAAATACCTAAAATTGATATACCTGCAATAAGAACATGAAAATACTCTTCTGTAAAGTGCAATATCACCAAAATAAAATGTATACATAAAATAGTTTATTCTTTTTGTGTATCAAAAAAACATGCTAAAAAGTGCACATCATGGTGCTGGTGTGATTGCGCTAATGCAGGAAATATGAAAAACATAAAACAATGTAGTATTCAAGTGAAATTGGTTGATCTATCGATACGGTCGGTAGCGACCAATTGATCAAGCCAACCGAAAGTGGTTGGTCAATCGATCGGGCAAGTGGTGGATGATTGTTCAAGGTGACGGAAAGTGATCAATCGATACAATTGGGTATGAGGTGCTTGTTGCAGTATTATTTTTTATTTATGCTAGTAATGTTTTTCAACATACTAACACACGTGACATCTAAACTAGGAAATATGTAGAACAATCAAAATAAAAGTTTACTTTGGTATAATCAGTTTTTCTTTTAAATCTTTAAATTTGCCACTCCTAGTGAATTAATATATATAATTTTTCAGTTTTAAAAGTCACTAGGTTGCAAACGCAAATATACGTATCGCATAAGTAATAAATGAATCTAATGGTGTCTTAAGTATCGATCCCACAGGGAGGTGGAAATTTTTATAATACTAACATAAAGACATAATTTCAAAACTATAAAAAAAACTTAAGTAAGAAAGCAGGTTGATGTTTGTATTAAACATCTAAAAAACTATGTTTACTACACTAATCTCTAAACTTCAAAGTTAAATCTAATGTAACTAAGCTAAGTTTTATAACGATGGGTTCAAATTTTAGAAAGTATCATTCTCCTTTGCAGGATGGGTTCAAATTTTAGAAAGTATCATTCTCCTTTACAGTGAGGTTATAGCGAGTGAAGTATCCAAATTGTTATTAAATTGTATTGTACTGTATAGGAGCAATTATATTCTTTATTCACTTTACGATTGACAGAGAACATTGGCTAATCCACAGTTTAGTCCCTAAATCCACGGTTATGTTGGGAAGATACCAAGCTCTCACCTTAGAGTTCCCACGTTACCCTTGGCTGAGAGCTAACATCTCGCTTTAGTTTCCAAACGCCTAGACCAAATTGGGGATTTTAGTCTGTCACCCACAAATCTCCATTTCTACGCCCAACAAAGTATATTTCCTTATTTATTTGCACTCAACCCGATGGACTATATTCTGATCCATGAAATCAAATGTGATTCTTACTTAGTTTTAGAAAGCATAGCCCTCTCAGATCGTATGTTTTCACAATAAATTTTAATAAATCAATTAGCCAGATCGATAAGCAAATGAAGTTCAAAGGTTGAATCATCATAATTAAGAATTTAAAACATTTCCAATAGAAACAAGTGTACACAACAACTGAAAGTAAAGTAAAACAATTTATCTCAATCTTCTCCCCAAACAAATCCTCTAAAGTCCTTTTAATCACTTTCTCTCCTTACAATATCATTAAATTCTTTCTTAGAAATGTAATGAAGAATAAATCTCTCACTTTCCCGTTCCTCTTACAACTTTTAGAGAAAACCTTCCCTAAGTCTTTCTCACCCTTACACCTTAGGCGCTAGTTCAATTATGGATTTTGGCACTTAGGAGTCGAATCAGGCACTTAGGCGCCAGTTCAACTCTTACAACAGGCCACCTTTTACCTCCAAATTCCTTCATATTTGCTTTCTTTAAGCTCCAAATGTCTAGACTTAATATATCTGCAACAAAAACATGAAAATATTTTTCCAATCTTTATTTTTATTCTCAAGACCCACCAAATAGATCTTGGGACCAGTGACAAACTGAACATAGTCGTCCCTGTTGATTCAAAAAGAGAAGAAATGGTTGAATAGTTTGACCGACCATGGGATTTTCATCCATCGACAAAAGAGGATGAAGGTTATTATGGAAGCTATAGAGTTAGGAAGAACATGAGTAGGAACAACCCCTTTACCTCAACTCTATGTCCTCTAGGTCGCAATGTCCGGCTCCACAGTGCTTTTCTCCATGGTTCCCTGCTCCATAAGAACCTTCCCCATAACATCCACTCGCCCCTATGCTGCTCAACCGATTGTGAATGCATCTCCCTAAGGGTCGGTGTTAGTATCTAATGAGATAGAAGCGATCGTCAGATCTCCAACAGATGCAAAAGAAATACTTAAATGCATGCATCAAGATATGTACCCAAAATTTGACACAATTTAGGTGTGGTATAAGAAAAAAGATCCTTACCAGTCTCCTCTAATCCTTCACCCTCGGAGGAAAAGCCATTCTTTCGCAACTGAAGCGGCATACCAACTTCAACTAGTGCCTTCTTGAGCTTCTGGGGAGTCATAGTCCACACAGCGGGCTGAACGATATTCTTCTCCTTTGGGCAAGTGTGACCTCTTCTGATGGATGCCCCAGAAGATGATCGGGACGCCCTCTAATCTCCTCTACAGCTCTCCCCTGTGATGAGACTATGAGAAAGTCCGAAGGCCCAGTTCGATCTTTGTGTTCCCTCGTTCATGCCTCCTACATAATTCTCCGGGACGCCCTCTAATCTCCTCTACAGCTCTCCCCTATGATGAGACTGTGAGAAAGTTCGAAGGCCCAGTTCGATCTTTGTGTTCCCTCGCTCATGCCTCCTACATAATTCTTTTCGTGCTCAACTCTTCCGAGGAAACAAGCTCGCTAGTTTCAGCTTCACAATAGGTTCACGAGTCCCTGCCCGCATATCACATGGCATTGAGTAAGGCGCTTTTTTTGGCAAAACTCTTAACTAACACACACTAAACCAAAAAATAAGTCCCGCACATTCAAAATTAAAATTTGCCTGTGAGAACTGCAAGAGCAGCGCCGCCTATGTCCGGTAATGGTGATACTCGTTTCGTTGCAGTCGTATTGGTCGAGTACGCCGCGTAACTCCTCCCAAATTTAATTTCAAAATCCATGGCGTCGCACTTAACCAACAACGCGCTAAGCCGACATTTTAGTCCCGCGCATTCTCAAGTCTCCCGAGCGCAGCCGTAGATGAGTATGAATCTATTAATCCAAGTGGTTTTTGCCCCAAACCGTGCGGCCTGTCCACGTCCCAACCCCACTCCCTCAAAATTCGTCTCCATCACTACTGACATAAGCCTCCATCCCACTAATATAATAGAGCGACAACCAAATACCCAATTCTTCACCTCAAAATAATAAAAAAAAATTAATAATAATACTTCCGGAAAAACATTTTATACAATTTTAAAGGTTGGCTTTACAATGAGTTGCTCCTCCATACCGCCACCCCACACTGTCGCACCCCATTACGCTAGCCACAGCAGCGCCTCCTCCGCATCCGTCCGGATCGGCAAGCGGTGGACAGAGTTCCAAGGCGCCAACAATTGGGACGGCCTACTCGACCCCCTCCACCCCATCCTCCGTTCAGAAATCCTCCGCTACGGCAGCTTCGTACAAGCCGCTTACTCTTCCTGCGACCTAGACCCCACCTCCCCTACTTACGCCTCATGCCGCTTCCCTAAACACTCTCTCCTCCGTCTCTCCGGTCTCCCTTTCTCCGGCTATCGTGTCACCCGCAACCTTCACGCCACCTCTGGCTCTCGCCTCCCTCACTGGGCCGCTACGGCTTCCCCTGCTTCCCTCTCCCTGCAGTCCAGCTGGATAGGCTTCATTGCCGTCTGCCATGATAAACACGAGCTCGCACGCCTAGGCCGCCGCGAGATCATCATCGCCCTTCGTGGCACCGTCACCGCCCTCGAATGGCTCGACAACTTCCGCGCCACTCTCACCCATCTTACCCCTTCTTCCAGCCCAACCCAAGTCCGCGACCAACCCGAACCCAAGGTCCAGCGCGGGTTCTGGAGCCTCTTTACATCCTCCAGCACCGCCCACCACAGCCTCCGCAACCAAATTCGTGAGGAGATACGCCGCCTGCTCGACCAATACGGCTACCACAAAACGAGCATCACCATTACAGGACACAGCCTTGGCGCTGCTCTTGCTGTTCTCACTGCCAACGATTTGTCCGCAATGCTGGGCCCTTCTGGGCCAATGGTGACGGTTGTGTCGTTCGGCGGGCCACGGGTCGGCAATGCAAGCTTCCGGAGGCGGGTGGAAAAGCTGGGGTGCAGGGTGCTTCGAATTGTGAACACAAGTGATGTTATAACCAAGGTGCCGGGTTTTGTGGACGGGAAGGAAAAGGAAGGGGTGATAAAAAAGTGGCTAATTTCGAAAACAGGGTGGGTGTACGCCGATATTGGACGGGAGCTTCGAGTCAGTGGCAGGCAGAGTGGGAATGTAGCGGCATGCCACGACCTGAGCCACTACTTGCAGCTTGTGAACCAGCTTAACGAAGCCCTTCCGACGGTTTTGGAAGAAGAAAGAGTGCAGAGAGGATTGCGGTGGCCGGGGATTTTGGCTGGTGATGTGTTGTGATTTTTTTGTTGTTCGGATTTGAGAACGGATGGTTGAAATCTACGGGTGTCCGCCGTTTTGTGTTTGTAGGTGTATAAATGATGAATAGGGGCTTGAAATTATTAGTTTAATTGAAAGAAATTCAAAAAAAGTCACAAAAACTGATCTTGTCAAGGTCTTAAATTTAGCAACGAATCTTTTTTAATCTAGTTTTTGTTGTGTGGTTTTAACGAAGAGAGAAGTATGAGGTAAAATTTTAAAAACAGTATTTTTTTTTAATTTGAAGTTTATATTTTAACAATAAATAGTCATGACAAAAGGTAATTTTGTCATGTCAACATGTGACATTGTCTATCGACATTGTGATTTTGTCACATGAGCAGTTGAAGTTATTTGTTATCACTTTGTAAATAAAATTGTTTTTGAAAAAAAAAATCCAACTAATACTAAAAAAATCAGGATCATTTCTCATCATTTTAATTTCAATACTAATTTGACTATAAAAATTTAAAAGAAAGTTTAGCATGTTTATTTTTATCGCTTTCGTTAAGTTCAGATATCTCAGAAGTGTATATAATGGAGACAATAGCAAATTGAGTGAAATTATTGAACGTAAAACAAATCTCGAAAAGTGCAAATAATTTCTGATTGACTGTCAATAACGATATTGTAACTCAGCTCGTAGAAGAAAGCAGTGTTCGCTCACATGGACAAATGCTCAGTTGTCTCTCTCTCTCTCTCTCACTCACAAAGGTCAATGAGTCGAGCGCTTATTGCGTACAGAGAGTTGTGTGCGCTCTCCGATCACAGCCGCACATCAACCCAAGCCTGTATGACAGTGGCTCCCACTGTCATACAGGCTTGGGTTATGTGCGGCTGTGATCGGCGTGCGCTCTCCGCACGCAATAATTTTTCCAATGAGTTGTGCTTTTTAATTAATTATAACATTAATAAATTGATTATGAAAACCTACTCTTCGGAATCACTGCTAACTTTTTATTTTAAATTTAAATTTAAATTTATTTTTTAAAATATTTATTTAAAATAAAATATATTTAATATGTTATAAAACATTTAATTATTTTTAAAAAACACTGAAAATAATTTTTTAACATTTTGAATATTTTTAAAAATAAATTAATTTATTTTTTAAAATAAATATAAAAAATTTGTAAAGATTGTACCAAAAAAATATGATAAATGACTTGCACGGAACTTGAAGCAGCCCGTCGAATCAGATCAAATACTAATATTCAGTTGGAGAACTAAAGGCGGCTGGACAGCTCTTGATTAACTCGCCAAAGAGCTCTTGATCGAATATATTCCAGAGGGAGTCCTCCCTTTACAAGTAGATTCCAGAGCCAAAAAAACACTTTAGATTGAGTCCTCCCTCCTCATCTTTGTAATCATTCCTTATATATATAAAATGAGTTACAGAACCCAAGAATACCCCAGTTAACGCTGATGGGATAAATTTGTATTTTCTCTTCCTCTCTCTTTATCTCTCTCTCGCCCCTGGTTTCTTCAGCTGTGATCCTTGGGCATGCCTCACAGGGTAGATTTGGATTCAACATTTTAAAAGATACGGTGAGTGTAAAGCATGTCATCAATAAGAATGGAAGTATACCAATGAGAAGAAATACATCTTAGAGATACTTCTAACAAATAACGTGACGAGAATCTTTTTACTGAATAGATTTGGAACTTTGAGCACCATTTACATCATTTTCTTGGAAGGCTATAACTATGAGGTTAATTTTGCAAAACGAATGGCTAGCTCCTGATGGTTGAAATAACTGATTGAATGAATCATCATGCTATTGGAAAATTAGCACATAGCATGGATGATTCCGAGTAGCTGATACCTTACCTGATGAGTAAAAGACACGCCTAAGTTTGGTCTCATCCTTTAACATAGATTTCTCTAGCGTTCTCCCCAAGTCAAATTGACACTCAGGAAACTTAAATCCAAGTAATAGCAGCAGCAACAACCCAAAGTGGTTCGACCGGCTAAGTAACTTACAGCGCTCTCGCATAAAACAAAAAAAATTGGTTCTAAAGCTCAAGTTAAATAAAGCCCTATAGGTGGTTTTCTTCCCAGTTGCTTAAGCTTCAGAAAGGGTACGATGTAAATCACCCCCGCGGTGGTTACCATTATGAAGGCATTGATAAGAGTTGTCAAAGACCTGACAAAAGAGGGAGCCAACTGAGGCTATAGTCCCATAAAGAGACTTAAACCTTAAGATGTATAAGAAATGAGCAAAACAATAAAGACTATCAACTACGACATCAAGATCATCCGGTCAGTTAAACACATAAAAACTATCAACCACTACACCAAGATCTTCTGGTCAGTAAGAAACATAAAGATTGTTAACCGCGATGTCAAGATCGTCCGGTCAATAAAAAGCATACAAGCTGCCGACCGCAGCATCGTGATCATCCAATCGGTCCCACAGTCGGGGCACAGTTCCAAGCACGGAAAAAACTGATCTCAAAAACACAACTTGGAAGCAACCCAAGAGGTGGCTCCCCGCCCAAAAGCAACCAACTCCGTGAGGGATGCGACACAAATCGTCTCTAAGTAAAGTCCAGGTGGTTACCTTCGCTAAGGCAACAATGTGACTCGCCTAAGTCCTATTGAAGGCAAAAACCAACCCAAGTGATGAATCCAAACAAAATAAACCGAGATTATCAAGGTAAGACTTGTACTGAGTCACAAAAACTCAAAGACTACAATCTTTTACAAAGCCTCGATCACTCAATAAACATATTATCGTGTAAAACACTGTAAAGTGTGACAAAAATAAAAATCCAAAAGGTACTAAAGACGATCGAGCAGTCTCATTTCATTACAAAAGAAATACATATAGTTTCCATATTTACCAAATTTCCATGTTCCTAAAAGTTTTATATGCAAAATGTTCACAAAAATAAATTTCAAAAGAAAAAACTTAAGCTTTAGGATGCTGACTAGAAGTGCCCATTCATCTTTAACATTTGAATAATCCACAGATGATCCTTCAAGACGAAGTACATGGTTGCAAATTCTTTAAGGATGGCATATTTCTAATGAACCAAACCTGATCGGATGAATCGGCCAATCGCCATCAGTCTATAGATCCAAAGGTATTCATTCAAGAGCTTCTTTTACCTGGGAAGTACATGGTTGCAAATTCTTTAAGGATGGCATATTACTAATGAACCAAACCTGATCGGATGAATCGACCAATCGCCATCAGGCTATAGATCTAAAGGTATTCATTCAAGAGCTTCTTTTACCTGGGGTGGAACATAAGCAATGCAAAGAACTCTTATTTAGTCTTCAGGGTCAACATTTGCACTTTTAGATTAAGTGTTTCTTCCTTGACGAGTGAGAATAATTTAGAGAACATGGAAAGCTCTTCCTCCACCGCAAGAAGCTTTTTTCTCAGCTACCTCAGCTCGCTTCTTTGCCTTCCTCGCCAGCCTAACTGAGACCTCTGCTCATTCCGCAATGGCAACCCATTTAGACTCAGCATGGTCCAAGGCCATCGATTGAAGGTGTGAGGCCTCCCATCCCTTCAAGTTCTGATATTCGGTTTTCTTATACATATCTGACTACTCCAATTTCCAAAGGGCTTTCGTGAATGCCTGTGACCAAATGACCTCCAAAAATCAAGAAGGGTATATCTCGGTAGATGAAGGAGTTGCTATGCCTGTTAATCCTAACTGGTGGGCAGTCAGAGAAATTCCAGATCTTTGTACCATTTCTCTAAGAAGGAACTTAGTTCACAAGAGAGCCCTTTCTTTTCTTTAGGGACAAAAGGGGTAAGGAAGTTGACCCTGCAACATGTTTTTTGCCTTTGCGATGTTTAGCCTCCTCAAGAGTACCCCTCTTGAGATTAGTCTCAAACTCAATCCCTCTGGGAGTCACCAACCAACTAGCCTCACTCCTGGCAGAAAGATTGATAAACGGAGCTCCATGGCTAGGAGAAGCTACTTTTCATCCCACTTCTCTAGAAAAAACCTTCCTTATCTAAACCTTCTTCAGCTCGTCCAAACAATCTCTTAGCTTCTCGGGCACCGGAAAGAGCTGCATCTAGCAGATAAGTATCAAATTTAGCTTAGATCTTAGGTTTATTGATGATAATAGTCAGTTATTTTATTGAAATATGTTGAATCACAACCATGTTAAGAGGAACTCCTCACTTATAAAGCTAATTTTTTTTCCTGTCACATCAGTCAATCTTTCTTCAACTACCATTACTTCCTGCTTAGCCCCATTCACCCTAGCTACGGCCTTGGCCTTCTTTTTGGTTATTCGAGTGGCTGCCTCCTTCACCCACTGAACCTTCTCAACATTTGAGGCAGCCCATAACTTTGTCATCATTTGACCAAACACTCTAGGAAGAAGAACCCTATTTACAATACTTAGATAAGTATGTTGGGAAATTAAGAGCATTCAACCCTCAAAAAACCAGCTCCCTCGACTCAGCAGTAGTTGATGCCCTTCTTCTTTTAGAAATGATCGCTATACAGAACTATCCTAACGCCCCAAACCTTGATGGAAGTGGCAATGAAGAACTTGTGCTTCTAGTCCATGATTTTCTAGGTCAACAAGCTAGAACTAACATGTTGTTTCAAATAGAGCATAGTCATCTGATTGTATGCTAAATGAGAACATATGATTAAAAAAATTGACCGACTAAGGAATGCCCATTAACCAATAGAAGATGATGTAATTCATGATCATCGCCACATAGTTTGGCTTAATCTGCATGAGGAAGACCCCATAGCAGCTAAGACTTGTTCGATGCTTGTGGCACAAAGGTTGTTGTAACCCATATCAAAATTGGTCTTAATACATCACCAGGGAATTGTGGGTTCTTCTAATATCCCTTTCATCTTGATAGGTGGCCCTAAACTTGATAACTAGATGAAAAATAAAGGTTTATTCAATAAAGACAACATCTAACGGTGATAGAATTGAATGTTGGACTACATCTACTATACCAAAGGTCTCCTCTTTGGAGCCATTCAAACGTAGAAGAACGATGACGAACCAAAAAGCAGGAGATTCAAGGATTTAGAAAGGAAAGGATAGGAGGCGCACTCATGGGCCCC